GCGAGCAAAATTAGGATCTGTGAAAGCTCTTATAAATCAGAATCTTCGTTATTAACTCATTGGCCTTATTCTTCCTTTTTCTTTGCATCCTCATATTCTTTTTTTTCATCCCCTTACCTTTCTGCATCTATTTTAAATAATTATTTATAATGCAAAACCATGATTCATGTGAAGTTTAAACCTCAATGGAAATTTTAACTGCTACTTGAAGTTGATTCAAACTACAGAGGTACATAGTTAAGTAACACATAAAATTGCTTTTTTATCTTAGAAAATGTTTATAATGTATTATTAAATTCAATTAAAAAAATAAACTACAGTTTGTTAATAAAACAAAAATGGGCTAGCTTTCAAGTAATTTAATTTTTACTTTAATATTTAATATTTTAATGTTGTAAGTCATCTATATTTCAATACAAGTTTTAAAAATAATTTTTTGAATTAAAATATACTTTTCATTAAACACGGGCTTCCCTGGTGGCTCAGATGGTAAAAGCATCTGCCTACAATGCGGGAGACCTGGGTCCGATCCCTGAGTCAGGAAGATCCCCTGGAGAAGGAAATGGCAACCCACTCCAGTATTCCTGCCTGGGAAACTCCATGGATGGATGAGCCTGGGGGGCTATAGTCCATGGGAGCACAAAGAATCAGACAAGACTGAGCGACTTCATTTTCACTTTCACTTTCATTAAAAACATATATACAAATAAAAGGATTTTTTAATGCTTGTCACAATATGAAATAAAATGCTTTTACTTTGGAGGTTGGAAGTGAATTATGGTCAGAGGTATGTTAATATGTGCATACATACACACACACAATGACAATGGGGCTGTTTGTACAGGTCTGCCAAGTTCACTTATCACCTGATGATACATTAATAATTATACCAGTGATAATGATAACAGTAAGAGCAGTAGATATTTGTGTAATTTTACTAAGTTCCAGGCAGGGTGCTTTACAAAAGTTACTTAGCTTAACCCAATAACTAGTTAATTGTATGTCAGGCAGCATGATCACAATCTTACAAGATGACAAAACTGAGCCTTTGCTCAGTAAGAAGCAGAGCTGAAATTCACACACATGCTTGCAGACGTCTTTGCACACCACACGCTTGGAGTCTAATAATTGACACCTTCCCAATAATCTACTTAATGGTCTGCAAAAAGAGATTCCTAACAACCCAGTCAATCCATTCATTCCCCAACAAACTAAATTTGCAATGGCAGAGCCTAATTTATTTAGACAAACACATTTTGCTAACAGTTTGATAACATTATCCGTTCTGCTTCATTATGCTCTCTGATGGTGTCTGTTGTTTTTACTGTGTTGTGCGGTCCGTCGTGTCCGGCTCTTTGTGACCCCATAGACTATAGCCCATCAGGCTCCTCTGTCCATGGAATTTGCCCGGCAAGAATTCTGGAGTGGGTTTCTATGTCCTACTCCAGGGGATCTTCCCAACCCAGAGGCTGAACACACGTCTCTTGCACCTCCTGCATTGACAGGCAGATTCTTTACTACTGTGCCACCTGGCAAGCCCTGATGGTTAACTATCCTCCTCAACTGAGTGAAATTAGGAAAGAAAGTAAGAGAGAAAAAATTGAAATATGAAATTGAATCATTTTCTCAGTAGGAGTCAATTCAACAAACATCATAACTAGCCATGTATAAGGTACTGGGTAGAATACACACAGGACACTTGTCCTACCCTCAAATAGTTCATTGCTATCGATTATATCTGGAGGAGACACACACACACACTTAGTGATGGCAAAGAGAGGATCATTATCACCATTATTTATTGAGCACTTCCACTACATCCTACGTGCTATTGTAAGTATTTGCTATTAATTTAAAATCTCACATCAGCTCCAATTATTATCCCCATTTTATGTATATAAAACCAAAAGGTAAGAGACTCATTCTATATCACACATTAATAGTTGGGGCAACATTCTTTGAATCAAAATATGCTTTATGGCAATGTGGTCCCCTATGGCTGTCCTGCCTTGCCCTAGGAAAGACTGTGATAGGTGTTGGAAAAAAAGATAGATGATTGAATTAGCACATCAGACAAAATTGTAGCAATTGTAAGAATAATTGCTAACCAAACCCCACTAGTCAGTCTCCCACACTTTGCTGGAGTGAAAAATAGACTAAAAATTACACCATACTTATTCTAAAAATGTTACAAGCATGAACCACGTAGATATGATTCTAGTGCAGTGGGCTCTTTTGGCCCTGGGCACCTGTAACTTACAGCCTCCTGGGATGCCCTTGAACAACTGGAAAGTCATGAGATAGGAAGGAGAGAGGTGTTTGATGGAAGGCTGAGAAGTGGAAAGGTGGAGATGAGAAGGGAGGTGCTTTTGACCTATCCGAATAGCTATGTGCCATTTTCTAAGAGCACGGGGATTGCTCAGGAACCATCAGTCCAAATCTCCCCAGCACCTGTCATGCCTTAAAGGAGGAATTGCAAAACAGCTGTCTCCAAATTCGTGGGGCTTTGTAGGTCTGTCTGTCCAACATTTTAAAATTCATTATTTAAATACACCTAAAGAAGGCTTGTCATTTTTTTCTAGTTTCATGAGATATAATTGACATACAGCACTGTATAATGTGGGCAGCATAATGATATGCCTTATATACATCAAGGCTTGCTATTTTTAATCCCACTGTCTCCCTCTAATTTTATATAGGGCTCACTAAGAGTTTCAAGTCTGGTCTCTGTAGCATTTGATTTCATAAACTCTGCTTTAAAGTTTCTCCAAGAAAAATTTAAACATGAATAAAATGACCTTTCCAAAACATTGGTCAAGCCATAAATGATCCCTGTTGAACAAGGTTCAAATAGAAGAGTTTATCAAAAAGTCCCACAGATCTAGAGTTTATATACACCTGAAGGTTATGCCCACTCTATCTTGGAATTCAGCCACCAAAGCACTTTGGCCCTAATTGATCATATTTAGTGCCAGAAGCCTATTAGGAGTGAAAAGAGAGATGAAGCTATTTGCAATAAATGCAGACCAAGAGGCTGGTATAACAAAAAAAGGTACGACAACCATCATTTCTATAAAACACAACTGAATGTACTGGTGGAGGTGAATAAGTAAGTGAGTGGAGTCATGCCAAAGAGTTTACATCCAAACTACAGTCTGTCCAATACTCCACTTAACAGCAGCCAGGAAATGAGTGACGAGCCTTCACTATAAGCCAGAACACCTCAAACGAAAATACTCCCTTTTCCTTAAATCCACATCTGCACTGCCTTTTTCAACGAAAAGGAGTTATTTTGCCTTAAAGACATAATATTAGAGTTAGCATGTTTCTAACTGACTTATGGATCATTTAACTTAATCATAACCAAAGCTTCACAAAAAGCATATACATGAGCACTAACAGGCCTTGATACATTGAGGGAATAAAACAGGTCCTTAACTAAGCCATTCTGCCACATCACCACTCCAACATGCTGAGACTGCTTTGTCCATGAAAAATTGAGAACAGATGCATCACTGAACACATTAAAAGCAAAGAAATGCAGAAACCAAAGGTTCATACTTCCATTTTAGTGCTGAGCAGCACTGCATGAGTATGCAGTAATGTATATCACGCATGATGGATTATTCCCAAATTAAAGCAGAACCAGGATTACCACATGCTGTTTTTCATTTATAGTATTCTGATACAGAATTCACTTAGTATTCAATAACTCATCATAATGCAAAAAAAAAAAAAAGAGAAGAAACCACATTAGATTTGAAAAAATCAAGATTTTTTCCTACTCTAAATTTAACTCATAAGAGGAAAAGACCCACAAATTGACTCCATTTGTAGTACTGTGTTCTATTTGGCAACCACATTTTGAAAAGGGATAGCAATAAACTGAATGAGAGTTAGTGATGCTGCCAGGTGAGCAAGAGGCAATATTCTATGAACGACCCAAGGATTCAGAGATATTTAATCTATCCTAAAGGTAATGCATAGGCAAAATTATCCCAATTTCTCCCTGTGCTTCATCTGCAACACCAAGTCCTTCTGTCTTATTACTCGTCATTAGTTGTTACTGCTTTTTAACTGCCATTTCCACCAGACTATCAACTCCAGGAGGTTCAACAATCCTGTCTTCTTGCTTGGCTTGTATCTACTACACCTATCGGAGTGTCTGATAATAAGCAGGAACTTTACCTGTGTGTGTGCCCAGCTGTTTTGTGGCCCCATGGACTGTAGCCCGCCAGGCTCCTCTGTCCACGCAATTTTTCAGGCAAGAATATTGAAGTGGGTTGGCATTTCCTCCTCCAAGAAACTTTATATTGTTTTACTAATGAATGACTGAATAAAGAAGATCCATGACCATGTATGACCCAACAACTAGACTTAACTACAAGGTAGATTATACCTCAATATGAGGTTGAACATCTTCTAACAGAAGCATTTAAAGTTTAAAATGGCTGCTGAGGTGCTTAAGCAGACGTGAGAGCAAAAATAAACATGGGTTGAGTAAGCAAAAATCAACCTTTGGGTCCTGAATTATATTCCAATCTTTAAGATGCTTGTTAACTCTGAGGTTCTATGATTATAATATAGATCATTCCCAAATTTGGGTCATAATTTAACCTAAAATCATTGGAACTCTTCTGTGATTGGAATTACATAGAAAATTTCTCAAATATCACATAACTTCTCTTTGGCTATACATTTATTTTGCTGAATCAAAGGGAAAATGGTATATGCTTTACTGTAAACAATTTTACTTTTTCTATTCACTGTGTTTCCTTTCAAAATGCTTGGGCCCCAAGCATTGATTTAACAGATCTAAAATGGCATTCCTCACTAAAGAAAGTTTTAACATTTTGGCCACAAGGCAGGGACAAAGCATACCACAGACAATTAACACAGTCCGTTCAGTTTCACACCGCTGAATTTAATCACAGAAAATCACCTCTAAACTTCATTTAACCAGTGTCTGCTTTTAATCATAAGGTGGTTAAGCTACTTACCACAAAAGAATAATAAATCTTGAATCCAGGTTTAGCCACAAAGTAGTCATCAGACTTGAACGTTATTTTAATCTGGTTTGTTCTTGATGTTATCCTTGGAGGAACTTCCTTGTGTCCACACCATCGTCCTCTAATAACAGTACTGGTTTCAGATATGTCTTCAACTTCTACAAAATCATACCTGGTACCAATTTAACATAAATAAGCTTTGATTAAAATAGACTTTGAAATTCATACTTTCATTGAGAACTTAAAACTAACATATGTGATTTCTCATGACCTATTATCTGAAATGAAGTTTAGAAGAAAAACCAGCTCTTTGGATTTCTCAAATTCAAACTTCAACAGTCTATTCTGAGGAAAAAATTTATACACTTTCAGCCTATCCTCCTTGAGTGAGTGAAAGTTGCTCAGTCATGTCTGACTCTTTGCGACCCCATGGACTGTAGCCCAGCAGGCTCCTCTGTCCATGGGATTCTCCAGGCCAGAATACTAGAGTGGGTTGCCATGCCTTCCTCCAGGGGAACTTCCCAACCCAGGGATCAAAACCCAGGTCTTCTGCATTGCAGGGAGATTCTTTTTTTTTTTTTTTTTTTTAATTGGAGGCTCCAATTGTAGTGGCTTTTGCCATAAACTGACATGAATCCGCCACGAGTGTACATGTGTTCCCCATCCTGAGCCCCCCTCCCACCTCCCTTCCCACCCATCCCATCTCTCAGGGTCATCCCAGTGCACCAGCCCTGAGCACCCTGTCTCATGCACTGAGCCTGGATTGGCAATTCATTTCACATATGATAATATACATGTTTCAATGCTATTCTCTCAGATCATCCCACCCTCGCCTTCTCCCACAGAGTCCAAATCTGTTCTTTACATCTGTGTCTCTTTTTCTGTCTCACATATAGGGTCATCGTTGCCATCTTTCTAAATTCCATATATATACATTAATATACTGTATTGGTGCTTTTCTTTCTGACTTACTTCACTCTGCATAATAGGCTCCAGTTTCATTCACCTCATTAGAACTGATTCAAATGCATTCTTTTTAATAGCTGAGTAATATTCCATTGTGTATATGTACCACAGCTGTCTTATCCATTTGTCTGCCGATGGACATTTAGGTTGCTTCCATGGCCTAGCTATTGTAAATAGTGTACGGGGAGATTTTTTACCCTCTGAGCCAACAGGGAAGCCCAAGAATACTGAGTGGGTAGCCTATCCCTTCTCTAGGGGATCTTCCCAACCCAGGGATTGAACAGGGGTCTTCTGCATTGCAGGCGGATTCTTTACCAGTTGAGCTAACAGAGAAGCCTCAACTCTTTCTAAATTGTCAAAAATCAAAATAGGCTACTTTCTGAGCATCTAGCTTATAAAGGTTTTCCTGGAGAAACCAATAAATATAATCTCTTGTCATAGTTTAGGAGATATAGCTCCTGTTGTGTGCATGCGTGCATGCTCAGTTGCTTCAGCCATGTCCCCTTGTTGTGACTCTATGGACTGTAACCTTCCAGGCTCCTCTGTCCATGGGATTCTCCACGCAAGAATACTGGAGTGGGTTGCCAGGCCCTCCTCCAGGCGATCTTCCTGACTCAGGGACTGAACAAGCATCTCCTGCATTGCAGGCAGGTACTTTACCACTGAGCCACTGTGGAAGCCTGTAGCTTCAATTATATACCCACATGTTCACTATATCAATTTCTTAAACAAATTCCCACTTGGAATTAATTTACCACACCCATCATTTCCTGAGGAAAGGAAATTGTCTATACCTACACAGCATAAAAAATCAGCAATTTCATTGTAGAAAATAAGTGGTAAAATTATAAAATAAACAACTATTTTCTCTTTGTGGAACCTATCTTTTGAAGGGATTGTATCATAAACAATGACATTTATCATAATCGAAAGCACATGCCTTTAGCAGTGATGTGCCCTAGCCAGTACTGGACATATCTGGGCTGTGTGTGAATGTGGGTAAGACCACGGGTTCATCATTGACACTGGTCAGAGAAACAGAGTATCTCAGGATTGAAAAAGACAGGAGAGGCATTTTAGATATTCCATGGAGCCGTTAGATCCTCAAAGGCCCTGCACAATACCCAACTCTTTGATTGCAGAGTAAAACATGTTCAGAGACAGAACTGGCATCTTTTAGGAATCACTTATTCTATTTTGAGATACCCAAAATCTTAAAACATTCTACTTGAGAGCTGAAGTCTGTGCCTTTCAGTTCTGATCATCAGGGTCGCGTCCTTCATTCACCTGTCCCCCATGTGACTTGAGATGCTAAAGTCTCAGGGCAAACATTCGGGGTGAACAGTGCAGGAAGTCTCCTATCTACTTTACATTTTCCTGTCATGATTGCCAAAAGGAGTCACCATGAGGACCATCACATCCGAGTGTGAAGAAAACCCAATACAACTTAGCTAGTCTAACCCATACACCTCAGAGCTCTTACTGGGTGGGCCAGAGTGGACTAAGAAGCAGGTGAGCATAACAAGATGGTGACTCAGTTTCATTGAAAATAATCGGTGGGGCCTTTATCTCCTTTGCCTCAGTTTCCTAACGAGCACAATAAGAAGGCTTATGTAATTTTATCAGCTGAATATCTATTCAGCGCTCTGCAAATTAACTACTTGATATATGGTGCTTGGAAAGTGAAAGGTACTAAGATAGAATCATCATTAGAGCAATAAATATTACAATGTAGACATCAAGGAAGTTTTGCAACAGATGGGAAGAAACAACTTCATTTCATTTTATATACAATATATGTGAATCATATTTACTACACTAAGCAAGAGTATACTTGAAACTTTAATAACACAAGAGGTCACTTGCTATTTAGATAACCTATTAGCACAATTTTCACTCTCGAAGCTCCATTTCGGTTTTCAGGGAGGGTCCTGATCTCTTCCCCTTCTTCCTCTCTCCTCTACCTTTTACTTCTTTAACTCCCTCTATAAATTTTTAGAAGTAGCTTGATTTGAGGACTGGTCTGGGGATCTTTTAGTCAATACTGAAGGAAATCAACCCTGAATACCTATTGGAAGGACTGATGCTGAAACTTAAGCTCTAATACTTTGGCCACCTGATGCAAAGAACTGACTCACTGGAAAAGACCCTGATGCTGGGAAAGATTGAAGGCAGGAGGAGAAGGGGATGACAGAGGATGAGATGGTTGGATGGCATCACTGACTCAATGGACATGAATTTGAGCAAACTCTGGGAGATGGTGAGGGACAAGGAGGCCTGGTGTGCTGCAGTTCATGGGGTTGCAAAGAGTTGGACACCACTTAGCAACTGACCAAAAACTGGGGGAAAAATAATCCTTAATTTCCTCTCCTAATTTTAAGGTCAGGATGTCCAGAGGGTTTCAGTTCAGTTCAGTTCAGTTGCTCAGTCGTGTCTGACTCTTTGTGGCCCCATGAATTGCAGCATGCCAGGCCTCCCTGTCCATCACCAGCTACCGGAGTTTACTCAAACTCATGTCCATCGAGTCGGTGTTGCCATCCAGCCATCTCATCCTCTGTCGGCCAGAGGGTTTAGTCACTTCCAGATCAAAACCCTGCGTGTGAGTGGAGACCAGTATCTCTTCAATGACATCATCTTTAATAAACTTTTAATACTGGCTTTTTGTTTGTTTCCATGATCTCTCTCTCTCTTTTTTTTAAGCACAGAAAATGAATTCTCCCTTTCAAGGTTGAAAAGACATAAGATCTCCTCAAGCTTATTCTCTCTGTAAATATTAACTGGCTCCTCCTGCATGTATTCATCTTTACTTTCCGGCATACATTAGCCTAGTCTATGGTCCTAGAAAGTAATAGTTGGTGCTATTATTCTTGAAAAAAATAGCAACATAATAAATGCTGTCAGTGTAATAAACATGCAACAAAGGATAGCCAAATTTGAGGCACCTGATTTTTATTATTCAGAGTAAAATAAACCTGCTGAAAGGATTTAGCAGTTTAGTAGCAGTTCGTTGGCAATGCAGAACAAGTGCACGCAGTAAAGTACAACGAGGAAAAAACACCCTCCGCATCTTACCCATGCTAATTAAGGGAGTATGATGCTGAGAGCGGACAATTCTGAGAACAACAGCCAAGCCTCGCTCTGAAAAACATGCTAAAAAGGGAGGAGCTTTCATTTTCTGCTGACCATGAAACTGCAGGAAGGAACAGACCTCTGAGGAGTGCGCTGGCCCCGGGAGCTTGCCTTCTTTCTTCTTACACGTATCTGAGGCCTTAAAATTACGATTTCAGGTAAGGCCCTGGCAGGGTCCTCACCACCACCCTCTCCTAGTGCTGGGTCAGTTCCTGGAGCCCGGCAAGGGATACACTCCTTAACTCCTGGGAAGCTCGCACCCGAGCACGGGACAGGGTTGCAGATGACCTGGGACACCGGATGTGTCCAGCTGCTCACAAAGGTGGTTCTAGGCCTGGCCCAGAAAAAAAAGAATCACCCAGATCCCCCTTCTCTGGAAATCACACAGCCTGGCTCTGCCAGCTGCAGGAGTGAGCTTCTGTGAGTCATGCCAGGTTAAGGCTTCCATAGAGACTGTGCTTCAATTTAATGTTGTACATTAAGACGGACATAAAGGCTTTTTGAAAAAGAAGTCACATATTTTGGATAGGGCCCGAATGAGAACTTGGATGCAATGTTTTAAACCTTTTCTTCACCTTGGAATTTTACCCTAATATGGATTTTATTTCACACTCACCTACAGATATCATTTTCCGCTTCCTCTAATCCAAACTGATTGTCAAAGGCTAGCTGTATCCTTGTTTTCTCCTGGGAGTGGAGCCGCCAGGTCAGAAGCAGGTTGCGAGGGTAGCTGTTTGGGAAGCGGGGACTCTGCACGTGGCCGTGTCCTGTCACCCGGATGGTCTCATCTCTTCGGTACAAGTCTGTGAGGTGATTGCTCTCTGTTAGTAGTCACAACTTGTAGAAATTAGTATGTTGCTCCAATTACAGGAAAGCAAAAAAAGAACAGTTTAAAACACATCACATTTCAAAGCACTTCTTGATTTTGTTTAAAAACATAAGACCAAATGGCAGCTTTGTGGTTAAACAAACATCCATATTTTTTTCTACCACCCCTGTCTCCGCAATTCTTCATAAATCTAAGCTTGACTTCTAATATTTTATACTTTGGGAGCTCTTTTAATGTTACTTTTGACAAGCAAAATTAACAATTATCTCAGAACTCAGACTCATTTCAATTGGAATTAAAATGAGAAAGAAATTTCAAATAGTTCATCTTTCCTTTTTTCCACGTAATACAGCTGACCCTTTAGCAACACGGGTTTGAACTGTGTGGGCCTGTGGATTTTTTTGATAAATAAATAGTAAATAAATATATGGTTGAAACAGGAGGGAAGGGGGGAAGGCATGATATAACCATGACAAAGACTGGTTAGAAATAACTGTGTCCAAGATGACGGAAGTGTCAACTTGCAGTAAATCTAGCACCTCATCTTACGCTTGTTAGCATGCTAAATGCCACACCCATTGGCACCATGACATTTCTGAGGCCAACCATAAAAGGTCAAATCTTGTGCCGTGGCCTAATTCCTGGAAATCCCTGCCTCTTGCCCCAAATAATTGGAATAATCCTCCCACTAATTAGCCTATGAAATTACCCAGTCCATGAAAACTATCCACACTGTATACTGAGGCTCTCTCTTGCTTTCTGAGATGGCCCACACTCTGCGAAGTGTGTTTGCCTTTAAAGACATCCATTTACTATCACTTCATCTCTGAATTCTTTCATGATAAAGCAAGAACCGTAAATTCATCAGCAACATTGTAAATGCATTTTCTCTTATGACTTTCTTAGCAACATTTTTCTTTTGTCTAGTTCACTTTATTGTAGAATATATAATACATATAACATACAAAATATGTGTTAATCAACTGGTTAGCAGTAAGGCTTCTGGGGACTTCTGTTGTGGGCCAGTGAAAAAGAATCCACCTTACAATGCAGGAGACATGGGTTCAATCCCTGGTCTGGGAACTCAGATACCACGTTCCATAGTGACTAAGCCCATGCAACAACTAGAGAAGCCTGCATGCCTCAGTGAAGACCCAACACGGCCCAAAACAAAACAAACAAACAAAAAGCCAAAGAGGAAAAAAAAAAAAAGTAAGGTTTTTGGCCAACAGTGAAGTCTGAGTAAAGTTTGGGTGGGGGGGTGGAGTCAAAAGTTATATGTGGATTGTGTGTGTGTGTGTGTGCGTGCGCGTGTGTTTGTGTGCGTGCGCACACATGTGTGCACTTAGTTGCACCGTGGTGTCTGACTCTTTGCCATCCCATGGACTGTAGCCCACCAGGCTCCTCTGTCTGCGGGATTTTCCTGGCAAGACTCCTGGAGTGGGTTGTGTCAACTACAGATTGGTGCTTGCTGACGGCAGTGGCCGCCTGCCTCTGCAGAGACTGAATTCTGTGCTGCTGCAGCTGTTGACCCTCAACATGCCCTGAAGGCAGTTCAGAGTGGAGAGTGAGGCACTCTGTGCTCCAGGGAAACTGGTGGAGCAAGCCTTTAGATAGTCAGATATTTTCAGAAACTGATTTCATGATCCAAATCCATGCATCTCCTCACTTCTAGAAAAGCACTGAATCCCTTCATGGTGACATCAGCTCCTCATGACTAGCAGAAAACCTTTTGTAAAGTAGGTACTTGATTGCTCTGAATTCCCCCTTCACCAAAATGTTATATATTGACCTTCCCCACTGCCTTTTTTGAACAGTTCCTTAGAGTTCTCTGAGGTGCTGTCTCCTGGGCAGCAGTCTTCATTTTACCCCATTAAAACTTAACTTGCAGCTCTCACTTTGCATCTATTTAGTCAACAGTTGCCATGCCCTTTTCCTGGGGACCTTTCCGGTCCAGGGATCGAACCTGCACCTCCTGCGCTGCAGAAGGATTCCTTACTGCTGAGCCAGGGGGAAGCCCCTGTAAGGTACTGGCACCCCTAAACCTCACTTTGTTTGAGGATCAACTGTACAAATAGATTTTTTTTTCATTGACAGAGCAACACTATATCTTCAATGATTAGCACAGGAGGTGCTCAATACATATTGCTGAATGAATGAATAAGTGAAGGAAACAAGTGAGTGAACAGCAAATTAAAGACTAATGATATTTAAAGACCATGTATTTTTAAATCAAATGACATTTTCCAGTTGTTTCTCCATCATAAAAGATCAGAATTGTTGGCCTTCATTTTTGCTGACTTAAAATAGTTTCAATTCTATTTTCCATATATTGTATAATAAAGAACTTGTCTGATCTTTGTCCTGCGTTCCTAAAAGGGAACCCCTAATCCCTTAGAATTCTGAAGTTTCTTTATTATTTATAGTGGGCCCTTGGAGCCAAACCTGATTTATGCTGATGAGCTGATTCACTATGGCCCCTAAGTAGTTTCAGGATGGGGACTGGCTATGATAGAAAGACTAAACTCGTGACTTTCAGCTCTGACACCAGTCTGACTTCCCAGCCTCCCTGGAGGTGAGGTGTCTTGGAGTCTTAGCCTGTTGCCAGTGATCCAATCAATTATATCTATAGAATGAAACTCAAAAAAACTCTGGTCACTGTGGCTTGAGGGAGTTTCCTGGTTCATGACACACACACATGTGTGTTCATGACACACACACACACATGCTTCAGACCTCTCCCTAAATGTCTATTTGGCTGGGCCCAATTTGTATCCTTTATCGTAGAAGTGTAATGATAACTACAGTGCTTTCTTGAGTTCTGCAAGTTTTCCTAGCAGATTATCAAAGCTGAGGGGCTTATGGGAGGCCCTCGATTCACTGTCAGTTGGTACGGAGCAGGGCTAACCTGGGCACCTCACAGTTTTCAGCAGGCGACGGTAGATCGGCCTTGGGACCTGGGCTCTCGCCGAGTGACATCTGACCTGACTGCAGGCGGTCTGTGCCAGAGCTGCACTGCCCAGTGGGCCCGTTCTGCCCATCCCCCAGTGTCCAGAGTTCTTTGCATTTTAGATTTGACATTTTAGGCCCTTCTGCAAGCAGAACTGCAGCCACAGTCTATTTGCGTCTTCCCACAGAGCGTTGACTCCGAAGCCTGTAATTCAGTGAGCCTGGCCAGGGAGGCCTAAATTGCTGGTGGAAACCACTGAAAGATTGGGCTGTGGAGGGTGGTTGTTAAAGCTTCCAAAATAAGACAAGGGAGATGAACAAGGAGTCAGCGTATGAGATGCAAAGGCTTCTCTCCCTTTTACAAACGTTCTGATATGGATGGGAATTTCAACTTTTCTTTTCTTTTTTTACTAATTCAGCGTTTAGTGTTTGTGTTTGCCTGGCCAGCTTTTGTGTGGGAGACAGCCTTAGGAAGAGCAAATGTAGCTAAGGGAGTGGACGTCCCAGCTCCCAGCCTCTCGACCGGGAGACCAGAGCAGTCCTGTCCCATGCTCTGGTCCAGGTTTGATGCTCCTAACTATCCTGAAACAGACGGTAGTTTTCCTTCTTCGCATGAAATTTGCTACAGGCAATTTTAGATCCTTTGCTATCTATAATCACTTTGACTTCTGAATCTCATTGTTTATATATAATTTATAACCTCATGCCAAACTCAGGGCTATTCTTGGCAGAAGAGCTGTAATGAATTATAGATATAGAGAGCAACCTATCAGGTTAAACCTGAGATAACTCCGAAGTGTTATATACAAAGTCACATTCCTCAATGAAGGCATTTACTTTGGTGTTCCAGTAATAACTAACACTGTGTGCCAGGAACTCCAGTAAGTTGTTAAATTCGTTACTTCATTTAATCCTCACAACAACTGTATGCAATTAGTAATATCCCCACTTCGCAAAGAAGGCTCAGAGAGTTCAAGAAACTTATGACCTCAGGTCACAAAGTAGGTGGTAAAATCAATATCTGACCCTAGACTGTCTTCAGAGCACACGATCTTAACCAGAACACTGCATGAGTTGTTAAACTACAAAAATATGAACTATGTCATTTTTCATAGAGAGGGAATAATTTTGATTTATGTTTTATATGACAAGAATATAAGTTCTTATTTTACATTTTAATACAGAAAGAGGTTCACATAGTCATTACTCTGGGTTATGAATTTGATGCTTTTAAAAAAGTGAATTAAAATGGAAGAAAAAGTCAAGATGTTTTTTATTCTGTCCCTAACTCTTTGGTGAACTGAGTTTGCCCAACCAAGTATCCCAGGAGCTCACTAAATCCCTGGAGGTACTATCACTTACTCTGGGATTCATCTTGAACAACTGTTGTCCTCAGAGTGTGGTCCCTGGATTAGCATCATCAGCTGGGAATTTGTGGGAAATGTAAATTATCAGGCCTCATTCCAGACCTACTGAAGCAGAAATCCTGGGGGTGGAGCCCAACACTATTATTTTAATAAGCCCACCAGGTGATTCTGAGCTCCCTAAACTGTGAGAACCACTGACCATATCATTCTTTCTACTGTGCTTCTCATTCTTGACTCCCCAGGTTCCTTCACTGCCTTGCTTGACTCTATATCTCATATCTGAATTTTCATCTTACCTCCCTGACTGATGACCTGTCTTGGGCTCACTTTCCTATCTTTGACTTTGAAACCTTCTTGAGGACATCATATGATTTATAGAATGAACTAGGGTAAGAACTATCTACTTTGGAAATCACCTTATCTAACTTTCCCCATTTCATGCAATAGTCGTTCTTGGTCCCAATAGACACATCTGATAACCTACTGCTTCAAGTTATGTTTAAGGAGGAATGAAATCACAAATAATGGTTTATTTTCTCTTTCAGATCATATTATCTATGACAGCATGTGATCCAAGTGGTAAATTGGATTTACCAATTTATCAATTATTGAAGAATTAAAATATTTCATCAGTGATTCCATAGGAATAAACGGTGATCTCTGCAGACTGTGGCAC